TGACAGCTGCTGTGCGGGAAGAGGTTTGGGAACTTGCAGAAGTAAGTTCCGGATTGCCAGCTGGTATGGTTGCTTGGGACGCCGTGTCAGATCCTGGTGTCTCGTTGTGGTTGACAGCTGATGTACCGGGACAGGTTTCGGAACTTGCAGAAGTCAGTTCTGGATTGCCAGCTGGTATGGTTGCTTGGGGCGCCGTGCCAGATCCTGGCGTCTCATTGTGGTTGACAGCTGATGAAGCGGGAGAGGTCTGAGAAGTTGCAGAAGAAAGTGTTGGATTAGTAGCTGGTGTGGTTGCTTGGAGCGCCGTGCCATATCCTGATGTCTCATTGTGGTTGACAGCTGATGAAGCGGGATAAGTCGGGTAATTTGGTGGAGGAACTCTTGAATCGTAAACTGGTGGCATCCTGATTGCTGCATTTTGAGTGACAGCTGGTGGAGCGGGACAAAGTGGATAATTTAGTGGAATAAATAATGGCCTGGTAGCTGGCATGTCTGCTCGAGATATCATGCCAAGTGCTGAAGTTCCACTATGATTAATAGCTGATGAAACGGGGTAATTCGGCGGAGGGTTTGGTGTATTAATAAATGGTGGAAGTAGATTCAAAGGTGTACGGACTTCCGCGTTCCCATTGTGCCCAACAGCAGCCAGGGAGCGATAATCTGGCGGAAGGATTGTATCAATAAGCCCTGGGATTGCTGGATAGGTTTGCGAACCAGTAGCCGCCTCAATTCTGGTGAGCTCATCAACTTCAGACTGTTCGAAGCCAATAAATTCCCCTAAAAATCTCGGCAAACGAATCGGCGGAATTGTCACAGAGCTTGGATTGGCACTCCGATCAGAAGTTCCTTCCTTTTTGGCGGCTGGTTGTTGCTTGCCGTTATCCGATGGCCCACTGTGACTATCCATTCCGAAAATATTTCGAAACGAATTCCGAAGTCGAAACGAATTCCGTTAATTCGAAACGAATTCCGTTAATTCGGAACGAATTCCGAAGTCCTCGGATTCGAAATTCTGATTTGAGATTCCAAACGAAATTCGAAATTCCAAGATCCGAAGTTCGGAATTCCAAGATCTGATTTGAGATCTGAAAAAAAGTTGTAGTTTTGAAGTTAATCCTGCAAGCTTTCATTTATGTTGCGGCTGTGACTATGAAGCGGCATGCGATAAATTGCACTGTTCCGCAGTGAAAATGAACGAATTTCGAAGTTTTTTCAAGGTCATTCTTATCATTTATTATTATTTATTATTGTTATTTTTCATCATTTCTTATTATTTATTTATTATTATCCCCAATATTATGCGTCTTTTGCGTCTGTGAAAATGTGTATGCACATTTGCGCATGCATGTGTATGTGGATGCCTACGTGTGTGCGTACGCGTACATGTGCGTGTGCGTGTGTGTGTGCGTGTGTGTGTGTGTGTGTGCGTATGTGTGCGTGTGCACAATGACCGAACGAAAACTTCGACTTTTAGACCTGGGACTGTTGTGAAGCTGAATTTCTGGCAACTTGACTTCTCACTATGGCTGGTTCCCTAGGCTTTAAGTGAATGCTCAAGTACTCCCAGTCCTTGAGCATGGACGCGTGAAAGATATTTTGGCGGGAAGACGACTTCGGAAACGAGAAAATTTAGGTGGTTGAAACTTTGTGAAGATGTTCCTTACTCGTTTACGACTCAAAAAATTCGAAATTATTCTTCATATGCCCCTATATCATACATAATAAACGTTCAAATTGGCGCTATGCCAGCGCAGACGAGTTAACAAGCTATAAAGAGCTGTAATTTCACAGTGTTGTTTGCTGTTCACTTACATGCTTTTGAAAGTAAACTGAATTTTTGCGTCCCTCTGCATCTTACGTGCAGGCGCACGAAATTTGACACATACAATTTTCTAACTCTGAAACTAAAACAGCCAGTATGCTTCATGACCGTGTATGGGTAGAGGTGCATATAAAATAATATTCACATTTTCTCTACACATTACGTACGAACACGTGAAATTTGGCGTAACTCCGCAACCAAAGCAGCTAGAGTGCTAAAATTTTCTATGTATAGCTCACGACGTTGTTCGGGCTGGTGCACTTGAAAACGACACTCATGTACCGGCTACATTTACATACTGACACGTGTGAATTGGTAGTGATCATTTTGCACCCTTCAAACATAGCAGCTAAAATACTACGTGTGCGTGATCAGCGACCTTGTCTAGGCAAGCGTAAATGACTTGGCGCAAGTGGTAAGCGGTGCTCGTAGTGAGGGACAAGACGACTGTGAAGAATCCTGTGTATTTCTGTGTGTATTTGTGTATGCGTGCACTGTTGCAAATGTGTGCCTATGTGTGTGTATGTGTGTGTACATATGGGTGTGTTGTATTTGTGTGTGTATTGATGTGGGTGTATGCCCATGTGTATGTATGTGTACGTTGCATGTTGTGTTGTATTTGTATATGCGTGCGTTGGTGTGGACGTGCGCCTATATGTATAAATGGGTGTGTACTTATGTTATACATATATGCATGTGTGTGTTTTTGTGTGAGTGTGTGTGTATGTATGTATGTGTGGTCGTGGATAGTTGAAAGAAAAAACGCACAATAAAAATAATAATAATAATGATAATAATAGTAATAATAATAATAATGATAATAATAATAATAATGATAATAATAATGATAATAATAATGATAATAATAACAATAATAATAATAATAATAATAATAATAA